TAAAGAAAGAGTTCGGTATCTTTAGTCGTTTTCCAGACGAGAAGTCACTAAAACTGGTTTAAATCCAAGTGTATCTTGTAACTAATGTGATTATGGAATATATTTGTTCGAGGCATTTTATAAACATAACTTTAGTTATTTGATCACAAGTTTTATTGTTTGTTAGATTTCTTTAAGCTTAAAGAATTTATCACTAGCTATTTAAGTTGGAGCTTCATGATCCCCAATAAAAATTAAACCAATTAATCAATATCAGGTGTAAATGCAATATGAGCCCCTAATAGACTAAAAAATAATAATCTCTTCCTATAATTTTTTTTAGAATCATTTTAAAGGTGCAGCACAGTAATAAAACCACAAACAGCTCCGAAAATTTATGCACAAAGTAAGCTTTTTAAATCAATTTCGCAAATTTTGATCATGTACTCATTAAATCGCTTTTCAGTTTGATTTCATATATGGCAATAAATGCAAACGGGCTTGATTTTATAGAAACTACTTTTAAGTTTCGCTTTCCATGTTGCTAATTTTGTTTTTGTCAATAATGATCTAAATTAATTAATTCGCATATTTACCTACATATACCATTTCATAAGTACCTCTCCATAGTCAAATACAATCCCCAGGCCGCATACTATATAGCATATTTATACCCTGTACCAAAAGGGTAAAAGGAGTATACCTTTTTTAGTTTAGTGTGTATGTATGTAACACATGTCCGTATGAACTCAAGGACCTCAGAAAGATTCAATTTCCAGTTTCTCCAAAGTTGGAGGTGCACCTCCCACTCCGCCGCCATTTGTGATTTTCCATGTATCCCGGAATTTTCTACTTAAGTGTGGCAATTACTTGCGATTTTATTGTAATTTGTCAATTGTAAAGAAAGTTATACCAATATAATTGTAGCCTCAATACCAAGGTACAAGGTACTCGCGGTATAATCTATTAAAACTAGTTATAGCCTGTACCCGAAGGGTGATACTAGTTTTGTGCGAATGTATGTAACACACAGAAGGAGGCGTGACAGACCCCAAAAAGTACATATATTCTTTGATCAGGGTGACAAGCCGAGTCGATTTAGCCTTGTCCGTCCGTCCGTCCGTCCGTCTGTATGAGCGCAAGGATCTCAGAAAGTACAAGAGCTAGAATTACCAAACTTGGTATCCAGGTTCCTCTAAGCCCTAGGCAGGTCAAGTTTATTTTTTTTATTCTGATACACCCCCCCTCCCACTCCCCCGCAATTCGTGTTTTTTTTATAACTCCCGTAATTCTTGGAATTTTGAAATCAGTTTAAGTAGTTACGTCCAGTTAGTGCTTATGTGTCCGTATGCCAAGTTTCATCATGATAGGTCAACTCCGAAGAAAGTTATAGCCATAAATAAAATCGCTGCCCATGCTCTGCTTGCAGCGCTGCCCGCTGCTGTTGTTGTTGTTGCTTATATATACACGTATATAAACAAGCATAGATAAGTGATGTAAATGTAAAACTGTACATAAAAATGTCATCTATGTATGTATTAAATAAATTTTCTTAATTAATTTAATAAATTAATTAAATTTTTTTTCAATAATGTAATTTTTTTTAAACATTTTTTTCAATTTTTATACTCTGTACATGAAATGTACAAGAGTATATTAGGTTTGCGGGAGCTGAAAAATGTAACAGGCAGAAGGAGGCGTGGCAGACCCCACAAAGTATATATATTCTTGATCAGCATGACGAGACGAGTCGATCTAGCCCTGTCTGTCTGTCTGTCCGTCTGTCCGTCCGTATGAACACCTGGATCTCAGAGACTATAAGAGATAGAGACACAAAATTTTGCACAAAGATGCGTTATGTGTGTATTCTATACGAGTTTGTTTTATTTTTTTGATTTTCCCCCCCACTTCCCCCCTATGGGGGTTTTCTCGATTTTCCATTCGTATAATCGCCTATATCTCGGAGACTATAAGACCTAGGAACACCAAATTTTAGTCCCAGATGCCTTATGTGAATACGCAGAAAATGTATATTTTGGAATTCCCCTCCCTCCCCCCTCTCCCATGAAAATTGCGATTTTTTCTAACTCCCGTAATTCTTGGAATTTCGGACTAAAAAATTGCAAATACCCCCAGTTAGTTATTATGTGGCCGTATGCCAAATTTCATTACGATAGACCGATTTAACAAGAAGTTATAGCCATAAATATATTTGCTGATGCAGCGCTGCTGCAGCGCTGCTCAAGCGCTGCCCGCGGCTGTTGTTGATGTTGCTGTTTGGTTGACTGCGAAAATGCTTACACAGACACGAATAGATGCCCATAGGCATACATACACTCACACAGACGCAATTGCTATGTAAATGTGCAATTATAAACCCTTTACGTGAGTTCGAATACCGAGACAGGTAAAATCGATCAAATTTTTTTTTATTTTCTTAATTTTTTTTATTTTCTATAATTATTGTAAACATATGTACAGAGTATTTCAAAGTCGGGACACCCGACTTTAGCTTTTTTACTTGTTCTTTTTTTTATTTTCTATAATTATTGTAAACATATGTACAGAGTATTTCAAAGTCGGGACACCCGACTTTAGCTTTTTTACTTGTTACTTGTTTTTTTTTATTTTCTTAATTTTTTTATTTTTTATAATTATTGTAAACATATGTACAGAGTATTTCAAAGTCGGGACACCCGACTTTAGCTTTTTTACTTGTTCTTTTTTGTGGAGAGCACAGGCTATTTTACTGCCGGGCTTGCTCGACTGTAGCGTACTCTCTTGTTTTTTATTCAATTATGTTTTTTTTTAATTTTTACAAGTATTTTGCATCTAATAGGCACCTAAGTAAAAGGAATTTCAAATGCGAGGCACCGGAATTTTACCTTTTTCACTTGTTTTTGTTCTATTTTTTTCATAAATCCAACTGGGTTCAAATTCGGGCCAAGATAAAACTACATTGCCCCAGAATTTTAGAAAGCCAATATTGTTGTATAATTTGAAATAAAAGTGTTTTTTTTTTCACTTATACAGAGTCCTGTCTTAGAGCCTAATACATAATTTAATATGGCCGGGAACCTGTTCAGCGCCAAGCCTCTGGTCTTGTTAAGACTTTTTGTTTACTTATTTACTAATTTGCAGATATTGTCTTTATATATAGAATTTTCCCCATATACCTGTATTAAAATATTAAGTTTAATCTCAATCTAACGCAATGAAAATTTCTACACAACTCTCGCTAAGCTTGAATTTTTTTCAACACATTCCGAAGCTTCTGGCGATTCTGCGACGGCCGACTCATCACTCATTCCTGCACTTGCACTCACACACACACACACACACATTCACCCATGAAGCGGGCGGGCGGGCTAGCGGACCGGCCGGTCCCTTGAAACAGCCGAACGACCCGCAAACACTTCGGACTGGAGCTCAACTTGGCGCAACTAATAAAAGCGGTCGTAAAACAAGTTTGCCTAATTGATCGAGCGTACGCCAAAAGAGAGCAAAAGAACAAACTTCAGTCGAGGGGAAAATAAGGCAAAGGGACATGCTCCGACTCCGACTCTGACTCTGGCTCTGACTATGGCTCTGACTATGGCTCTGGTTCGGGCTGGGGCTGGGGCTCGGACTCTGACTCTGACTTGTCGGGCCACTCAAGGCGTTAATATTACGTCTCCAGAGCAGCGCCGTTCTCGAGACATTTTTGCCATACCATTGACAACACATCAAAGGCAGCGGCACCAGGCGGTGGCGTTACTCTTCGCCGGCGTTGTGGCCATTGGACAGGCTTTTAAGCGATGACACCAAATCGCTATTTAGACTGGCCCGGTGCTGGGGCTTCTTTGGCGCTGGCTTTTGCCTTGTTAAGATTTCAGGGTACCGCACTGTGGGCACAGGGTCATTAAAATTAATTTGGATCAATTTGGTTTGCTGCCACTTTGTTGACAATGAAATATAACAGGCTGCGGCTTAAGGTGCGAGGCGACTGCGACGTCACTATTTAGTCGTCGTTGTCGTCGTCGATGCCGTAGATGATGTTGTTGTTGTTGTTATTGTTATTCGCTCCAGTGGTAAAGTCATCAAAGTCCCAAATCACTTGGAATTTGGCATTATAACTCATTTATTTACAAATAAATATAATGTGCGTATATAAATGAATTTTTTCAAAAGTAATCATTCAAAAAAATTGACTGCGCCCCGACATTATTGATTATCGCCGACTTATGAAATAGGTCTACGTTATACATATAACTAATTACTTTTCAGCGCGAAAATCGGCAAGGTCTCACTCTTTTCAACGTTTACCTATTACAGTCTCTAACTAACGGATTGTTGTAAGAAATCTTATTTTTCGCTTTAACTATGTTTTCAACTATTATTTGTGAAGGAAGATATAGTTATTGTATAGATTTAGCTATTGGGAGAGTGAACCACATTCAACGTGCCATCTGCTCTCAAAATTGAAAAAAAAAGAACGGATTTAAAGTATTATCTAATAAGTTGGCTTCGATCTTTATTAATCTGCATTCGTATAAGGAATGAAATGCCGGTCGAATAAGGTGCGCGAAATAATTAAATAGGACAATGAGTTCAGATCATTTCATTAAGATTAAATAATAATTTTTTTTTGAAAATATATTGAACGGGTCAACCCGACCCTTAATTGTATTACATGCAATCATAAAATATGCACCCTACTCTGGGAGGAAGAGGGAATTCAATGACAAACATGTTGCAAATATACACCAGGAAATAAATCGGACAAAAACTCTTGTTCAGTCTGAAGTTAGGAAGGGATATCAATTGCTTTTACTGTGAGTCACAAACTCAGTCCGATTAATGTCCATATGTGCAGTATATAGGCCTGACAAAAGTAACAGAGCACAACACACCCTATAGACCGTAGTTCCAGAACCTCCTGGCGATACACATTGGCAGCTTTTTTCTTTTGTAATATACACATAAAAAATGATCTGTTACAAATTGGAATGCCTTGTTTCATATTAAAGAACGCCGATCACTTCTCGATTATAATTTGACTTTACTGGGATACAGTTCTATATCTAAGCTTATAAATACATAATTTGGCAATTTTGGTGGTTTAGATTATTTTGGGCATAGCTTAGTTATTCGATGGACGCTCGACACGCGTTATAACGCTTGGAGGGAGCTCACCATTAGAGCTACGGCCGGTTTCAATTGGAGGTACTCTGTGTGTGAATACAAAATGTAATCTATTAGAGCAATCATGTCCATTGCTAGACTTTATTTCTACCTACGATTGCGACATCTGACGATTTAAGGTGCTCGAATTCGGCAAATGCGGTGATTGACTCTGCGCTGGTTGGCTGTAGGGCGAATGGCTTTCGTGTTGACGCGACATGTTTAGAGTGCCCGTCACCGTAGCTTCTGAAGTGGGCGGGACCGATGGATTCAGAGCAATGGCCACCACACGGGAACCGGCGGTGGCGACAGCAGAAGCAGCGGCACCAGTTGTGGACATGTCATGGAGCTCGGGACTACCGGTTTGCTGATTGTTACTCAATATCACCTGGGAGGGGTAGAGCGGGCTATTGTTAACCATCAAGTTTACGCCCTGGGACATGCCTGTAAAAATGAAATCTTATATTTATATATAGAGAATCTATGGATCTATGGTACTTACTGGGTAGGGTGGCTCGTGAATGCATAGGCACTCCATTATTGTTCTTTGGCTTGCGCTTCCTCTTCTGTATGCCTTCCTTTTTCATGGAGAGCGGACGGTTCATATTGTGCAACTTGAAGTACAGCCCACACGCATTGCACACCGGGTTGCCTTCGTTGTTTCGGCGCCAAAGGGTCGTCGCGTTGGTTTGGCAATTGGCACAGATAATCCCATTCCGCCTATTATTTGGCGCTGCGGTCGTCTTTGGCTTCGCCTGGCGTGGTGGCATTCGTGCGGCTCGACTATAGCCTGAACAATTGGGACAAAACCAGTCCGAGCCTTTACGTATGTACATCGAACTACAGGACTCGCACTTCACATCTGTCATTCCAGCATGTGAAGGTGGTATGGCTGTTGCCGTGGTCAGGGTGCCGTCGTAGTTGCTTATAGTTGCGGCCATGGGCCAATGCGCGGTAGTCATATTCCCGGATGCGTACTCATCGATCACCTGGGGGTGATAGCCGGACTGTACGGAGAAGAAACATTTAGAAGTTTTGCATAGGCTTTACGGTTGCCACTTTTCAGAAATATCCGGAAAAACTGTCATGTGTTCTTCAATGAGTGAAAATAATCGCACTCTCAATCGTCGACAAGATATGTGAAGATGATTGTGCTCGTAAATAAATGATCAAACAATTCTAATGAGCAGTAGACGAAGAGATCACAAAGGCTTCAAAGACATTACGAAACACAGGGATGAGCAGAAGATTTAAAAGTTGGATGCAATGAGTAGCAATGTAAATAGCCTTGCTGGTAATAAAAAAGTTACTAGTTCAAACTATAATGAGCTTGTTATGTAAAATTTGATGAGCTCCACTTTAAGTATAACAGGTATTCACAAATATAAGACAGTTTAAATATTTGGATATTGTTTGCATGTTTGATTAAAAGTTTGTGGAAGATTTTCGACAGGCAAAAGATATAGTATTGATAATATTTTAGTCTGGTTCATAATCTTCTCCTTTTTGTGGGTAAGAAAAGCAAACTTTAAGTGGCAACCGTGCACGGCCTACATTTTGGCTTTCGAATACTTACGAATGTGACATTCTGGTATTCGGGACCGGCTGCGGTCCACAGCGCAGGATCGCTGGGATTTCCGTTATCCTGAAAGGGTATGGCTTGGTAGGAGCCTGAACCAGCTTGCCGCAATGGATTCATGTTCGGGTCTGATTTTGTAATGAACGAAGCAGCAGCCGGCACGCTATAAAGCGTACCCTGCTGCAACGCCGTGGAATAGGAGTTGCTCGTGGGAAACGTCGAGCTGGGCGGGAAGGCGTAGGCGTTACCCAAGTCCGCATACGTTTTAGACTCGTTCGGATGGACACTAGCGTCCACCACAGGCCCCTCATAGTATAGGCTTGTGTTGGCCGAGTCGGGATCGGTGTTGGCGCTGGTGAATCGTCTATCCTCATAGCGAAGGCTCACATGAGCGTTGTGCGGCAGACTCTGGCCGGACGAGGCTATGTGAGCGGCAGCTGCTGCCGCAGCCGCTTGTTGCTGCTGATGATGATGGGGCTGCAGTGGTTCACTGGAAACCACAATGGTGTCCGTGTAGGGACCATTGGGTGTGGGACATTGCTGATGCTGTTGTTGTTGTTGTTGCTGATGATGGTGGTGCTGCAGTTGTTGTTGCTGTGCTTCAGAGGACACCTCGCTTTTGTCAATTGTCTCTATTTTAATGGCGGCCCCGTCTTCCGCCGTGTATATAATTTGTCCACTGGAATAGGAGAACAAGGCACCCGACGCTGTACTCGTCACCACCTGTTGCTGCTGCTGTTCCTCGCCACTGCGCGGAGCCATTTGGATGTAGTGGGCGGCAGGTGAAGAGTGATGTGTACGCTGATATTCCTGGTGAGCGTCTGCGGCTGTAGCCGAGCTGGAGCTCGTGCTGCTGGTGGTTGTGGAAAGCTCCACTTCACGTGGATCGTTCAGTTCGCTTTATTAACGGAATAAAATTGTTTAATCACAACCATTCACCATAAAAGTTGAATTAAAGAATCTTTTATATATATCGGTAATCTGTTATATTTTAGGTAAGAATATTTTTCTATATAATATTCTCTATATTTAACAATTAAATTTGTATACAATTTGTGTTTTTTTTGAAGGAAATATTATCGCGTTGAAGAAGAAAGCTCTTAAATTTTAAGGAAAAACTTTAAGGGATAGAAATTAAATTCCTGAAACAATTGCATTATTATTACTTTTTATTGCCAAACAACACTATATTTCATTCTACATTTGCACCAAATAAAGTTAACTAAGTAACTAACTAACTAAGCACTAATATATAATGTTGTTTAAAAATTCAAGGGATGTTTTAAATATATTATATATGAATACGATAATAGCTTTAGTCTTTATAGGCAAATGAACAGCTTGAACCTCATTTGAAATAAAACCAAACATAATTATACATAGGTTCAAGCTAGCCCGACCGTAAAATTCCCTATACCCAAAAAATCAATATTTTTAGAATATGCCTGATTTTTGAAAAAGTGCTAGATAAATTGCAAGAGAAATTTGTTCTTAATGATATTTCTTAATGCTATTATGCGCTTGTATCTGCACCGACTCGTCTCATTACACTAATCTAGAATACATAACATATACTCTCTAAAGTCGAATATTGTTTTTGCCATTCTTACCATGCTTTCTTTAAGCCTAATATGCCACTCTAAATATTAGTCCCTCAATAGTTCTTTCAGATTGGGGCAGTGTTAATGGATTTGAATTAGACACCTTTCGAAAATATAACTCAATATTAAAAAAAAAAAAAAACGACGTTACATATTTCTGTATTCAACATCTCCTCTGTTCCGCGTTTTTTGTTTACAAATCACATAAGTTGAATGAAGGACATTTTATCTTTCTCTAGCATTCATTCATTCTTGTATGCCTCATATAAATATTACTTAGGCAAGCTGTGGTAACCATTTAAAATCGGAATAAACTGAGTGTATATTAAATGACCAAAGGATAAATACGATAATGTAAAATGATATACTCGTGTTATTATAGTACTTACAGGGTGCCCGCTGTGGTAAGGATGCGGCGTTGGGGGCGTTGCACTATCATGTATGGGGCCAACTTATTATCCGCCTCCACAGCACTGGCTTGGCTTGTCTGGACTAGAACTCCGACGGGTGTGGTGGCCTGTTGTTGTTGCTGCTGTTGCTGCTGCTGTTGCTGATGGTCCTGCGCCAACTGCTGCGCCTCCAGTGTGCCTGCGTTGGATGTCTGCTGCGTCAATTTATCCGCGCCATTGCTGGTCTCACTTTTAATCTTGTCCAGCAATACTGGCTGTTTGCTCAATTGCAATTGCTGCTGCTGCTGCTGCTGTTGCTGCTGCGTGGTCTGCGCTTCCATCTGCAATGGACAAGGCGCAATTGATGAATGGGTTCAACAATTTGTGAGCGCGAGCTAATTGGTAACAGCTACGGACCAAGTTCCGGCCACATGGAGTGCGAACTTGACCGCACTTTGCAAGTGTGCCTCTATTTCCGCCACAAAAACCAACAAGAGAAAACCGCCAAAGCCAAAGTTAAAACCTGCGTCTGCGTCGGCAAAACTACAAAGCGCATTCAATTTGTCACCTACAATCATAAAATAAATGCCGTTCATGGGGACGCTCTTCTGGCTCACTATAGACCCATGCTCTGGCTGGATCTCTCGCCCGAGCTTTGTTTGATTTTCTCTGCATGTGTGTGCCTCTGCTGCGTTCTTGTGTCAACATTGCCGCACACATTTTTCACTTTTCATTTGAGCACTTTCGTGCGGGCGGCAGAGGAAACAGTCTGACTTCCCCAAAAAAATTATGCCCTGACAACAACTTCTCTTCCCGGCCTGTTGGCTCAAAGTCCCCGAACAAGTGTTGGCGGAAATAGAAGTAAAAAGTATTTTTCGCGTCTGTTAAATAAGAAATAAAATCGCAAAGCCATCAAATTTTGTTTTGTCAGTGACTGACTGACTGAATATAGTATAGGTATAGGTTTAGTATGTACGTATTGTTCGGGCCTTGACGTCAGTCAGCGTCAGTCATGAATTGTTGGGGGTGGCACGACACCGTTAAAGTTGTGTCAATACCCAGATGATTCATGCCGGGGCCTCGGCTGGGCTTTACTTCGCATTTAACGAGTTCAACAATATTGTAAAAATTGTTCACTTACACATTCACATTCATTCAGAAAAATACCTCAAGATTGCTGTTGCTTTTAAATAAATAGCCCGTATCCACCTCCAGCTCTACGCAGCTACAATATTATCCAAGAATTTCTTTCAGATTAATTCCCTATATCTTGAAACCGGCCGACCGATATGAATGAAACTATTTCTTAAATTTAATAAAATTCAATATGTAAATATTGAATCCTATCTGGTTTTAAAAAAAAAGGGAAATCCTGTATATTTATGGCTCAACAGCTACAACTTGGAAAGTACAGAAGTAAACATAATGAATGTTATTAGTGAGTCAATGTCTTCAATTCCAAAAGCTTCCATACATGTTATATGTTTCTGTTTCCCTTGGTATATTAGTTTTGTGCGAGTGTACATGTAACACACAGAAGGAGGCGTGGCGGACCCCATAAAGTACATATATTCTTGATCAGCATGACAAGCCGAGTCGATATAGCCATGTCCGTCTGTTCGTCTGTCTGTCTGTAGGAACGCAAGGATCTCAGAAAGTATAAGAGCTAGAATAACTAAACTTGGTATCTAGATTCTCCTGAGCCCGAGAAAGGACGAGTTTGTTCATTTTTCCCGATGCACCCCCCTACTTCCCCCAATTCGCGATTTTCTATAACTCCCGTAATTCTTCGAATTTTAAACTAATTTGGTAGACACATCCAGTTAGTGATTATAGATCCGTATACAAAGTTTCATTATGATAGGTTGATCAGAAAGAAAGTTATAGCCATATAACCAGGCCCAATGCACACATACATACATATGTACAAGTACACGCATAGACACGATTCTGATGTAAATGTATGTATGTAATATTTTATATTTAATTTAGTTAATTAATTAAATATATTAATTAATTAAATTAAATTTATTTATTTTTTGTGGCGTGGTACAGGGTATTTAGGAGTTGAGCCTGCTCGGCTTTAGCATTCCTTTCTTGTTTCTTTCTACATACTTGATGTCACATTGATATATAGCTACCAGGAATCACATAATATGAGCTCGTTCCAGAGCAGGTTCTCAGGGTCATCAATCATCTTCTGCGATGATAATCGAAGTCACGAGTTTTCATAAAATTTAATAATTCTCCAACCCAAGACAGATATTAACCCTTCGTATGTCTAAGATGCATATCTACAACATCATATCCGCTTAAACTCAATTGATTTGATTACACTGAAAAAAGCTAGCGAATTGAAATTATGATCTCTTTGTGATTTGTGGGATACAAGCAAATTATACGATTTCTGTATTAAATTTTCCAATATAAAAAGTACAACTAAAAATGGGATAAATGTGGAGTAATGCTTTAATAAAAAGAATTTTTTATTTTAATCAATCATTTTCATTTACAAACATTTTTTCACCCCCCAGAAACAACTTTAATGTAGAAAATATACATTTTTTTTTTTCTTTTTTTTTTGATAAAGATAAATTTCTCAGTTTGGTATTTCATTTAGAGTGTAGTTGTAGTATCCGACTAGTCCCGCATTGAAATCAGAAAAAATGACATACGAAGGGTTAAATAAAGAATAACACATAAACATAAAAAATACAATCGAAATTGTTATTTCCCTTCTACACAAGCGGAAGTCACAGGCCGAAATTTTCGCTATCCAGGAGCGACCTCACCATTACGCCAGTACTAGCTACGGATATATGAATAATAAACATCTGCAAATATTCGGACTCTGTGTCATTTATGTGAAGGCTCAACATGCAAAACTGTTCTCATTTCTTCCAGAGATGGCAGTACAGTTCTCTGTCTCTCTCAATTGGTCATAGGCACAGATTAGAAGGTAATTGCAAAGCCGACGGGCTGGAACGACACGGTAACACTGTCACTCTCCATCTGGATGAGGAAAGCATCTATATACCAATGATCCGCGGCAAAAAAACACTGAACGCAGATCTCCAAACTAAGCACAAACTACTGCACTTGGTGGTGATCGGGGCTTTCAGCGGACAGACTTCGGCTTACTTACAATGACTTCTGTCATGGAGAAGGGGAGAAAATAGTGACCATCCTTATCTGCGATTGCCCGGCCCTACCTAAAACAGGAAAGAACCGAAGGAAATATCCAAATTCATCCAGGTTTCTGGTTGGGTCTAAAATATGCATTCAAACGCAAAACACCATGGGCAGACGGAACAACACTTTATATGTCCAGTGGGCCTAAGTGAGTCAGTCTTCCCTGACTAACACACCTACTTGTACAAGTATGTACCTATCCACCTACACTTGGCATAATAAGCCGATGTTTGAAATAAACATCAATAATTTGTGTAATTATGTAAAGCTAGTGTATAGTATTGATAATTGAGTCAGAGACCTATCCGTGACTACCGCGCCTAGTAATGATTATATTATTCTAAATAATGATTACTTACCTCAAGAAATCAAAAATATAGATTTACAAATACTAAGAATCTCGTATGTTTAGAAGCAATCCGAAAACGTCCGTTCACCGTTTACTCTCTTAAAATCAGACCTTCGAGATGGTCTTTACTTTTACTTAAAAGGAGATCGATAAAGCACAACAAAACTTCAAAAAATAGCGATTATCTTATTTCAAGAAGAAATTGTTCTTCAATTTAACTCAATGGCTTAAGAACATTAAGAATTCAAGAAATCTCAGCTCTTAGAATTCAATAACATCAATGAATACCTTCGTGAATGTCAAGGTACATAAATACATAATATAATTTATGTTTATGGATGTGACAATTCAAAGCATAATATTAATGTGCGATAGAACATAACAAAATTATATGCATTTCAGAATAAAACAAAATCTAGTCATGTGTGTCCAACCAACCTGATATTAAAAAAGTCAATATAAATTGGAAAACATACTTAAAACAATATATTTGGTCTTAGTATACGAATTTCCAAGCTTGTTTGGTATCGAAATAGAACTATTGTTAATTGTGAAAAGACTCTCTTTGTATTTTTTCTAGGACTCTGCAATGTCCAGATCCATTTAGACACAACCCCACTCTATTGTTGGCTGGGGTAGAGCTTTCATTATAATAACGAAGGCCATCAAAACAATGCATATTTAATTTGAGTATTAATGCATTTTTCACATCTAACAGAACGAAACGGCTTTAGAAGCAAAAATCTAGCTTGCTCCTGACGCCGTTTCTAACACGGCTTTTATGATACTCTAAACGAACTTGTGTTTCCCAACACTTAAATAATTTTGGTATTTTTGTGGCTGGAAAGCATTGTTTTTCTGCCATTAGCCAGCACAACAAATTGAAAGCTATAAATTCAAATGCATATAAATAAACTATATAATATAATATATAAGCAAAATTAAAAGCCATACAATTAAATACATATAAAAAAACTATATAATAATCTTAGTGAAATTACTCGTTATATTTTCTCCTGTTAGCTCTTGTTTTAATAATATATTATATATTTACAATATTGTCAAGCTATGGACAAAATAACATATTAATGTCTATTTGAATACTGATTTGACAAAACTACAATCATATTATATTACTCTTAGAAGTGTCCTATTAAAAGGTTTTATGTAAATGGCGAGAATGTGGCAATCCTTTTTAGAAATGTGCATATCCTTTTAGAATATGAGTTTGGGGGTTTTGATTGCTGAAACTGAAAATACTCAGACGCCTCAAAACCGTTGTGATGTTCAGATAATGAATCGCATACGTCACATCCAGTTATCAAGTTGGGGTAAGCTACACGAAAAGTTAAGATACTGCAGCACAATATCTTATCCAGAGCAGCACAATCAATCAGCTGTGGCTCTTGCTTCCACTTAGTTGGGAGGTCATGGTTACTTTAACAACGGAACAACAGAAACGTCATCAATGTTCAGATAGATACGTTATTTATGTTCCGTCTATCTGTAACTATAAACAATAGATACTGGCCGCGGCAAGAGAGAATTAGAAACTCATAACATTTCGCTAGATTTGATTGCGAATATTGGTAAATAAATACTAGATAGAAAAACTTTATGGTGCCATATTAGAGCCTCAGAATGCATTTCACATTTGTCTACCTGTTTAGTTACAACAACAACAAAAACAAAAACCCATCCTATTGTAGGGTAAGTAAAAAGTGGCGCATGTGTCGATAAGATGCCCCAGACAGCTGCATTTACAACTCAATTACTCTATCTAGTCGATGTTGCCCCTTTTTTATCATCCGTCAAGTTGCGGCGCGTGTCTAATACTTAAAACTATCTGCAACTATCGCTCTCCATATAATTCATTATCAATAGCAGCCGCAGTCGCAGCCGTTGCCGTCGGCGCCGCCATTGACCAAATGTTAAATAGCTGTAATGCGATTGGCCCAAGTTAAACTTTTGCTGCAGATTAGGGCCAAGAAACAACCCCTAACACGCGCAGGGGTTGGGAATGGTTTCATTCATAAAATAAAAGTGCAACGATAACCATTTCTCGAGCACTGTTAATGGTTTCCCCAGGATCGGGCAGGCGGCAGTAAAGGTGATAAGATTTACAAAAATTCTACATTGCAGACGCTCCAGGGTTCAGTTAAAATTTCACCTTTGGTTCATGAATGAAATACTCGTAGCTCGTGCGTCCAGTTCTCTCTTACGGCTCAGCTACCCCTAACATTGATGAGCATGTTTCCTATTTTTAAAGAATTTTGACGCCACCACTGCAATACACTTCTTGGCTCATAAAGATAACCCATCTCTCCACGCTTGACTCTTAAATGGGTTTCGGGCCTTAAAAAACTGTCGCAGTTCCTTCCCTGTGTGTGTGTGCGTGTGTGCTGACCCTATTGTTGCAACGAGGCTGCCGATGAGTCATTCCAGTTGTCTAATCTCGTTTCTTTATAGATCCCTGGCCCTGCCGCTGCTCACCCTTCTCAACTACTATAGTATTGTCAACTAGCGGCTGACATTGCAATGCCCTTGGACGGCACCATCCGAGTCAATATTTTTTAATGTCCGCGTACGAGTATGTAGGAAAAATATTCTTAATAGAATAGGTGACAGGTAATTAATCATTTGTTAAGCTTTCCTCAACTTTTATTTTAGTGAAATACTTTTTAACCAAATTGCCATATGTGTAGTTAATGTAAATAGTAATTTTGTATTCATATGTATGTGTAAGCAGCACATCTCATTAAAAGATGTCAGACTTGTGATATGTGTAAGCCGTCTAAGAAGGATTTGGTCGGCTAAACATATTTAATACAAAATCACAAAAACTATTTTTAAATAATATATTTTAAGAAACACATTTATTTGCTAATCGGTCTTATTATTCTCAATTATCTGCTGTGACTTTTTGAATTATAGACTACTTATATGTATAGAAAGTGCTTCGAATTGATTTTTATAGCCCATATCTTCTTTACTTAAAATTCAACAAGTATTTTGAGATATCATTTTCCCGCACAAATTTTTGAGAATAGATAAATTGTGTTAAAATATAACAGTTTGTACTGCAATTGAGAAAAAACTTAAATTTGATTTTCAAGCTTTTCACTGGGATATCACTCAACCATTTCCACCTGTTTTTCATGTAACTGCAGTTGAGGAATTTAATTCCCCTTCGGTTTCCAATACACTGAGAAACTGTTTACTTGCATTACTTCTGAAGTTTATTTGCAGGAATGGCACAATTACCTTATTTTCCCTTAGTTATCGCTTTTACGCACCTTTAACTGCATTTTTGCATCTAAAATGATGTATCCCAAGATTATAGTTTTGTTGTTTTTTTTACCACTGTTTTGTTCTCGCAATTATATCAAACGCAAGATTGCTGTGGTAATGGTTGAACCACCTGTTTATCAGAAAACGAGGGACGCGCGTAGATATCATATACGTGTATAGTTGCACTCAAAAAATTTAGTGAATTTTTAAACGATTTTGTCTCTGATCGAATTTGTTAGAATTTTGGCCCTGCGCGGAGTGGAAACTGTCGTTGCGAATTTGTTGAACTTTTCTAACAATAGTATGTGATTTCTTTTTTGGCATCCGTAACGCGTTTTTGCTGTTTCCCGCGCGGCATTTAATAATAAATGCTATATTTTCGAGACCAGGTTGGGCTGATGGAAACTCCGACACCGACACCGACACCAACGACGACGACGACAACGACGTCGACGCGACGCATTGCGCATTGGCCGTGTTGTTAGCACCTTGTGTTGTGTAGCGCGGCGAAGAGCGCCCAATTAAAACCCACACAGATGCACCCGCCAACCTCACAGATACAATTTCGGGTCGAGGTACATAGCACCTTTGTGGCTGGCCGAGAGTTGTGGCGGGAACAGCTACGCTGATTTTGCATATGTGTGCGTGAGAGTAAGTTATGATTTATTTCTATGCTCTTCCAACAAGCTATCTTGGTATGGGTTCGTTTTATCTTATCGCCTGCAATGAAAGGCGATAAGGCGATAAGCCTGCGCTTGTGTGCGTGAACGGCAAACAGCAAAAGCGAAAACAACAGCGCCAGCAACAACGTTGGCGGCGGCGGCGGCGGCGGCAGTATTGCTAGCTGGACTTGTTGGTAGTGGTAGGTAGGAGCGATAACTATCTGTGAGATACAAATTGTGCATGTGTGTTGAGCTACATACAGCCTTTGTGTGTGGGTATTTGTACCTTTATCTGCCGTTACATATATACACGCACAAATAAAAAAAACTAAACCAAACCCCACATAATAACCAGCCTCGACACCAGCCAACTATTTTATAATGAGCTCCCCCCCCCATCCCCCTCCCACTCCCCTTGCTTGGCGGGCTCCACTATACCACACGCACCACCACCACCACCACCACCCTTCCACAAGCAACAACCACATTTGTCATATGTAGTTATGTGTGTATATATGCAGATATGTATGTATAGTACTCTATATTTGTGCAATTCGGCTAGGCGCAATTTCTAATTGCAGCCATAAAACACTTTTCGTCTTTTGGTGTTTACAGCCCTGACAAACGCCATTATGGCCAGCTAATAAAAGCTTTCATGTTACTCAACTCTTTGGGCCCCTTCAGCTTTTTTTATTCTTGCAAACCTCCAGTTAGTGTGTGTGTGAGTGTGGGGAGGGGTTGAGGAAAAAGGGGCTATGACGCCTTACCTTCTATGACAAGTGTTGTAACCAATGGGTATACGTCCAAGTAAGGGCGTCTCAAACTCAAGTGGCCTACAGGCACTTGGAAGAAACGCACGTGGTCAGAATTGTGCAACCCACAGATTGCAGAATTGGATTTTATTTATGAATAAAAAAAATAACAAAATAAGGGATCAATTTTTGGTTTAAAGAGTAATATTTTTGGTATTTCATGTGCATTTCCTTCTCTGTGGCACTAAAAACAATACAAACATATAAAAAGATCCCTTTTCCTTGACTTGACAGGATTACTAATAATAATAATACACTACAATTACTATAATAGTACAATTTTGATTTAAAGACAAGCTGATTCTGAGTAGAAACTATTATAAAAAATCAACTAAAATTTTAAAAAAGTACATTAATAAATACGAAATTTGTATAGTTTATTAACTGGTAATAGGTGAAATATTTTTTTAATGAATTAATTTTATACGAAAGACAATATACTTGACACCGACTCCATAATATACCTATATTATATTATCGTAATAATTTGATTGTCATTTTTTTGTTAAGAGAACTCTAAAAAATATTATGATCATTGTTTGAGTTAGATTTTAAGTGTGATAAACACATAGATCATACCTCCATATCGATGGATTGAAAAAGTAAGTTGATTAAGTTGTAGAAAAATACGCAATTTTTTTTTTTACTTTTTAGTGCATATACTTGTAAATTGATTTTGGCATGGCTCTTTTTTGAAGGTGTTTATAAAGTATTTACTCATACATATACAAGTATTCTGAATCAGTATGACCAGTATTTCATGCTTTATATCTTCGTGTTTTGTCCTGTTTGCTCGTGCCTTCTGATTTAGCAGGACCATGCTCCAAATTGGAATGTGTAACATGAACACTCTAATTCTGATCTCAGCTAAAGCTCTAAAATGATGAGTAGAAAACTAGACTCAATTTCCTCTGCTTTTGCACAGGATTCTGGAACCTCTTTCTTTAAGAGCAATACATGAATTTAAGTCATGAATTGAAGCTGTGATTGCGTTTAGTTTCTTATTTTTTAGATGTAAGTTACTGACTTTAAAAGCACAGAACCCCGTCCTTTATCTTTAGCCAGCTACGTAGAACATATTTTCCGCGCTCATTTTCAAATAAAGTATAGATTCATTGATACATACAAGAATTGTACTATTTAAAGACTCGTTTTATTTTTTTCGCTATTTCTTTTTTTTAAATATATTTAAGCACTGAATCGGCGTGCAACTGTGGCCATAACTAAACATTTAACTATTACATGGTCGCCAAAGTGAACCATGAACCATATAGTAGTGTTCAAAAAAAACGAGTGCTAAAAATGAAAATCCTTTTCTAATAAGTTAGCTGGCTGACTTCTTTTAAGCCGTGTTATTGGGCGTTCATCAGGTAGGGGCCTGGCCACCCTGTTGCGGTGGTTCATCAACCGGTCGTTAGAGCGGCTAGTATGGCGGTTAATTTCCTCTTCAATTCTCACTAGATTAAGGTTCTTTTTCGATATTGAATAATTAATTGAAAATACTATCTTTGCATGTTTTAAGAACGGACCAGGAGGCTGCTCAGGACCCATCCTCTGGACCTCCCCAGGGACTAGCCGGATACTACAACTACACTCTAAATGAAATAATAAACTGAGAAGTTTATCTTTATCAAATTTAATGATTGTCCATGATGGACAGTTTTAAATAAAATACGAAGAAAAAAAAAAATGTTTTAAGATCGTTCCGTTTTATTTTAAGTCCTTTTTAAATATTAGCTTTTAGTCAAAGATCCTTTATAAATGGAAGGTATGTTCATTTTGTGCTTTGCGTATATTCTGTAATATTTTTGTATGTTGATGTATCTCTATGCGTTTAATCGCGAAGACCCATCATATAAATTTATTCAAATACTTCTTGCTTTTACATTTTTTACATTTACTGCAAACATAAATCAAAAGGCCACTAAAGAAAAATATCTAATTGTTTGGTTTGCCTCTTTAAAGTAGCTAACAAACTGAAGGCATATTTGAGATAGTTGCGAGATTTTGGGTTTGGCACACACACACACACTCACACATACACACAACAGTCCACTTTGAACATGTCGTAAAATATCATTCAGGTGATTAATAACAAATGCAAAATGAAACTCAAAACCTGACAGAAGCGCATGCGCAACGGCCTGCTGCGCATTTTCTGACATTTCTGACATTTTTACAAATGGCGCAACATGAATTCGACATTACAGTTTCGCAAGATTAACAAGCTTAGGCCTGAGGACTATGCATACCCAGTGGCGCCATAAAATATTGTACCTAAAACAAAAGCCCGCTTGGCCCTTCGGCCTGACTCACGCGACTAACTGGAGGCGCCGCGAGGGCCTTTGCATGCGACTGAGGATGCCAGTACTTTCCAGTAGAGAGCATACGAGTACTTTAAAACGCTTTTCTGATATGCCCACATGTTGATGGTGTCTTTTGTTTATGAATTCTACAATTAATTCCTTAATTAATGACTCAATCTCTGGCTTAGAAACAGTTGTTATGGCAACCGAGGTATATAAGTGGCTGCAAGAATATTGTAGTACGAGTACAACGGTTATTTGCCCATAGCCTGACTATATAGTATATTATTTTTGTCAAGTCGCTTTACCTCCAATCAGTCTACGTATTCTTAAGTAGCACGCCAAAAACTAAATTATCAGCACTTCATGCTGGTCATATCTAACATCAGTTAATGAAACGACATTTGATATTAAATTTATAAAATATATATTAAAAGAGGTACTTTTTGTACCTCTTGTGCCACTCATTTTTGGCGGTCGTGCCAGATAAGCGCTCAAGAGGTTCCACCTACGTCTATACAAGTAGTTCTAGGTACGAGTGCTGTTGGTATGTTACCAACAAAGGTGGGAATTAATTATACGCAATAAAATTTACACCCTTCCATGCTAAGCCAACGATCATTTAAACAATATAGTATCTATATACATTTGTATACTACAAGTATATAGAAAGTTTACCATGACTTTGTACATTTTGAAACGATCATCAACGATTCATACACTTGCACGCCTTTGTTTGCCAGTCTGAGCAGCCGTGACTCATTTTCATAACCGACGGACACTTTATAATAATTTAAGACTTTGTGTTCTTATAGTCATTATTGTTGTTGCTTTTGGTTCTGTGTTTGCGTTTCCAGTGTTCCCGGTAAGAAATCGCCATTGTTGTAAGTGGTGGAAAGCAACGCCATAAACCTGCCACTGCTCAAAGTCTCAGCTTTTCAAATATTGTCAAATGTTGGTGGTATTCTAATAAATGGTATTATAAATAATCTAAAGCTACATCGAAATGTGTGTAAATTAATTACGATTAAATAATTCTTTGAATAATATACATTACTTTATTCCATTCCAAAAAACCAACCATAGGGTAAAAAGGGTATATTAGGTTTGGGCAAAGTATGTAACATGCAGCAGGAAGCTTCTCCGACCGCATAAAGTATATATATTCTGAATCTGCATGACGAGAGAAATCGATCTAGGCATGTCCGTCCGAGAAAGGACGAGTTTATTTTATTTTTTTAATTTTCCCCCTCTTCCCCGCTATAGAATAGCGTGCTACCAAACCAATCTTTGCACACATAATTTATATATAATGATCTAATGTTGTTTAAAATAATATCCAATTCGGGCAATTCTAAGAAAAGTTATTAGCGAAACAAATTCTCTCCAGTACAACCCCCTCTAACTGCAGCAACAAGTTCGCTCTTCTTCTTCCTCTAATTGCTTCTGCTATGGGCACATATAACTCAGTAACGGAAGTTTCGCCGGGTACAGGGTATTTCACTGTCGGGATTGCTAGATAAGTTATTCTGTTGTTTACTCAAAAA